TTAAGGGCTTCGGTCATTTACTCCAAATAAACTGACTGATACTGACTGAAGACTTCCCCCACCTGAAATTCTATTTCATTCAAGAAGGCCCAAGACGAAGACTTGAAATGATCATATCCCGTCGAATCCGTAGCTGCTTAAGGCAGAAAACCTCTTCATAAAAATGCCTACTTGAATGTTTTCAGTAAGCAATCACAATGTCATTTTTGAAGCTTGTGACGACTGGACCAGGCACAGACCGCCTTAATATTTGCGCGGTTCGTATCGCCTTCGAGTGTCGAGAGGTTTACTATTCTGATCTGAGTTTAAACCCCGGATTATTAAACAGTTTTGGGACACACCCAGGCTGGCGCCTGGTACACTATTCTGGCTTATTAGCTGTCACCGTCCGAAAATAACTATTCCATTCTTCTTCGTCTTTGTAAGTAATTTTGCGGATTTTGTTTATTTGTGTCGAAAAATGACGCCGTCTACTGGCCGGACTGCTATGCTCTTGAAGGGAATGAACTTTCTGCCTCAAGAATTACAAAAAATACGCTTTATCCGACGACTTGCCCGTGACGTTCAACGCTTTCGCTGAAAATTGTATGTACTTCATGAAAGACATGTCGCAAGTAGTGTCGACAAGCAGAAGGTTCCCCAAATCACAAGTCGACAACGGTAACTTATGTAGTCCCCCTCATTAATCCTTACTCCCAGCATGTTGTCCTACGAAAACGGGGGTTATAGGGTTTTATGGGTGGGGAATTAGGACATGCAGTGGAATATATTTTAATAACTGCTATATGCATTTTTATTTTATTGTATTTAGAAGTGTTATTGATTTATATCTGCAGATTTTCTTAATCTGTATTATTGTTTAACGTATTGCGGAAAATTCCAGTTATCAAATTGCAGGTTTCTTGAAATTCCCGAAAAATAGAAATGGTGGCTAGGAGGTCGTCTACTTCAACTTACCTGAGGTCCAGCTTGCTGTTATGGAGTTAGATTAGCATAGCGCATTCAATTTACATACAGAAAAACTTGCTCCCAGTGGCCGCGGGAAAGAACTTCGACTACA